GTAGTTTTTATTTGTTTATTTATTTTGGAATGAAGTGGTAGACTTGACCACCTACATTAACTAGAGAAAAGCGGGTATGTTAGCAGCACTAAAGGGTAGCGCCTACAGTATTCATCCATCCCACTAAGATGATGCCTTTAGTCGTTTAAAGGCAGTGAAACATCCTGAAAAATGGATATGTTTGTCACACCAGTTATGTTGCCTGGATGTGAAGTGTCAGGTTAAAAAAAAAACAATAAAAAACGATATATGATCTATGAGGAGATGGGAAGAAACGCAATCAAGTTATGTATGACTATTGACTTGTATAACTGTTGAATAGATGGCACCATGGATCTTGCAGGTTGAGCAGATACTACATTTAGTTATTTGGCAGAAGCTTTTATCCAAAGCGACTTACAAGTGAGGGACATCACTAAAGCTCCAGGGCAGTAGGAGACCTTGGAGTAAGTACTGAGTACTACATGTATTTAATAAGAGCAAGGAGATCAAGTAAAGAAGTGCACCGAAAGTGCATAGTAAGTGCTGGTTTGGCAAGTTAGGGTGTTAGAGGTGTTAGGAGAGGAGGTGCTCTTAGAAGAGTCTTCAAGAGATTCTTGAAGATAGAGAGGGGCCCCTCCTGATCTGATAGCTAGTTCCACCTTGAAACTTGTACAGAAAAAGATCAGTTCATACACAGGTGGCAAAGCAAGCTCAAAGGTATGACAGTGTGTGATCCTTATGTTGAACTTAAACAGCAGTTTAAACTAGAAAGGTACTTATTGTATCAAAATTACGGACAGGCTTTTTGTAACTTCAAGGTCAGCGACACCAGAATCCCCGCGCGGTGTTACTCAAAGATATGGACCAGCAACCTTTACAATGACAATGGTCTGGGAGATGAGAGATCGCATTTCCATCAATCATGTAATAACAGTCAGGGCCAAAAGTTATACAGTATGTGAATTCACTTTGTTCTTGAAGAATATTCTATCTTTGTTAAAGTAACTGAATGATGAACTTCATTCCTGCTAATATTTTGTATAATGCATATTTGTAGTCCATGCCATGGAGCCTCACTCTTGAGTCAGATCTGAATCTTGTAACTTTTAGAGCTTCCAGTTCACCTGACCTGCATTTGGACTGTCTGAGATAACCGGAGCACTCACCCAGGAGCACTCACCCAGACAAACATGGGGACAACATATGAACTTCACACTTAAGGGCCCCAATGAGTTTTGAACAGAGAATCTTTCTGTTGCAAGGTGACAATGCAAATCATATGCCTACATAGTAGTAAAATGACAAGTCCTAAATTGTAAGAAAATAAAATCTCACCATATGTTTTACAGGGTTTTTATGTCCTGTAGGTGCAGTGAGGCAGGGAACGTAGACTGACTGACCCTGTTCAATACTTAAGGTTGATATTCAAGGACAGCTTGTGGTCACAGTGCTGACAGTAACATCTGATGACCACGAGCATCCCGGCCAAGAATAAGCCGTGTGTGAGAGACACGAAGGAATACAAAATATGTTCAGTTTTTAATCCTGTCAATATCCACAGACAGTGCACTGCGTGGCTCTTTGTAAATTTCACACCAGTAGTGTGAGTAAAAGGGAAAAATAAAATGTGAAAACTGTGAATCTGTGAAGCTTTTTCATCTATACTTGGACGTGTTCAGTCACAGCGGCAAAAACAAGCGAAACCAGATGAAACGCTGCCAACAGGTGCCATTTTGTGTGTCTTTATTGTGGACATGACATTACATCTTTTTGAAATGATGTACAAAAGTGTAACAGAACTGAGAATGGCTCAGACGAGGTAGAGCTTTCACATCGGCTTGCTGGCTTGAAAACGACATGGTATAAAACAAAAACAACCCAGAAAAATCAAATTAAAACAAATGCTCCTGTCTGCCTCTGTCCTCTCATCCTTTTTGAAGTGATAATAAATACAGATATCAACCAAATACATTTGGAATAATAATGTCTTCTAAGGTAAATTAATCATGAAGTTCATAACAAATAAAAAAAGCAATACGGACAACAAATAATACAACTTAAGAGGCATGATAAAAACCCAACCAAAGAGAAAGAACAACACCTGCCAGCCCCTCTGGGAGGGCAGCCATGACTAGCTACTGAACAAATCCTACAGTTTAGCAAAGAGAGACTAAAAACACACTCTTACATCTTTATGAAAAAATAAGCACTGCTGCACCTAGTATTATCAAACTGTCCATGAGGAAACGTAGCTAAAAAGCTGTGCCACACAGCCGTCACAGAACAAATCATGTCATTAAAATCTACGGACTCACCCTAAGAAAAAAAAAAAGAAAAAAAAAAAGCCTCTAAAACAGAAATGACATTGAAGTGTGTTAGCCGGCACCATTAAAGAGACATTCTCAAAGAAACCTTAACTAGAATTGGACAAAATGAGAACAGTTAAAGCAGTAACCTAGTCTAAGTGCACTAGTAATGCCATTTGGTTTCTACTGCTGTATATAAAGGGTTTGGTAAAAGTGGATTACAGATATACAGTTTATATTACATACACTCACTCCTGCTTCGTAGTTTTTCTAAGTCACACTTCGGAGTACAAATTCATAACTGAGGAGTTAATCTTAAAGGGAATTCTGTACATTGGTATTAGTACTACACTACCTCGAAGGCTAGAGTATCCGTTTCAAGTATTTTCACTACCCACACCTTCAACATACACACGTGTGTATTATTAGGCATATTCAAGCACACAATATTGTATGCATTTTTTTAAACAACCCCGCCGGTCTTGCAACCATTTCATCATCATGTAAAAACTACTGAGGTCTCAAAATAGATGGGAAGTACAGTACTCTGTCTGCTCCGCGATCTTTAACTGGTGTGAATTTGGATTATTTGCGATCAAAAAGTCAACAGTGTGACTCCTGCTCTTTAAGTTGGAGCTACTTTCTTATCTTCTTCTTTTCCCCAGCGTGTCAAGGCATGGCTTATTCAATCTTGGAGACCGCTGAGGGGAGAAAACTAAGCACAGGGCACAAAAGGAAAAAAAAAAATCCCAAAAAAAACTGTTCATCCTTGCAAAGAACAGTTGATACCTTTATACCAGCCAACAAACTTAAGACAGGCTTTCATCACAGAGGAGGTAGGCTAGTATACAAAGCATCTAGAGGGAGGCTGGAGTACACAGAAGTTAGTGAACCTCTTATACAGTATGGAGAGGTTTGAAAAGAATGCACATACACATGCATTAATGTACACTCTCACTCACACCTGGGTTAAGGCTGTGACGGCTCTACAGTTCCAATAGGCTTCAAAGCGTTTTGCACCTTGTGTATTCATCCCTGAACTCTCTGGAAGCCTGACCCCCCGACCTCTGGCTTCTCTCTCTCTCTCTCTCTATCTCTCTTTCTCTCTATCTCTCCCCTTCTCTCTCTCTGGCCTCCTCACTCTGTCCTTCTACAATGCAAAATCTTCACGACACAATTCAACAAATTTGACTCGTGCCATGGTAGTTTGGCTCATTAGTCTGCAAAAAAACGTTTTGGTGACAAAAACAGTTCTGTATCTCTGGTTGTTTGTTCTGTGCTCGCTAATACACAGCATACATGTTGGATTATACTCCGTGTTAATTTGTTGAGCAAACTTGCCAATTTTAAAGCAATAGTTGGACATTTTTGGAAATATTTCCTTTCTTCCCAAAAGTTAGATGAAAAGAACAATACCACTCTCACGGCTAAATATGAGGCTACAGCTAGCAGCCAATTAGCTTAGCTTAACAGAAAGATTGGAAACGGAGGAACAGCGAGTCTGGCTCAGATTTTCCCCTTCTCAAATTGCTTAATTTTTTAGATGATTTCTACTATTTTACAAGAAAGAGGAATAGAAAATTCAGAAAAAATAAACCTAATTTTGTGTAGAATGTACATTTTTGATTTTCACCTATCTTGTGACCCCCTCGGATTACATTGCGACCCTGTTACGGGTCCAGACCCTTAGGTTGGGAAGCGTTGTGTTAAGGTATCGTGTGCTGATGACAGGCTCTCTACCATAAAGATTTTGGTAGCCAAGATTTAATCACATATATTTTAAGGAGGTCGACAGGCCAAAAAGTCAGAGTTGCCTTTTAGCAATGAGAAATATTAAGCTGCATCTTTTTAGCTAACACTAGCAGTACCACATTCTCCTTTGCATGTACATAAGTTGGAGTTAAGTCTGTGCAATCCACTAACGTCTTCCTGCCACTCCCACTGCTTGGAGTCTAATTCAAAGTCAGAAGTGTCGGTGTGGGAAACACTCCCTAATATGATGGAGTTATGGAGGAAAACTGCCTCCACTTCCCTCCCTTCCTCTTAAATGGACAATAATTGAATGACCATAAAAATGGTACGCTCATTTATATTGGCTATTAAAAACGCACACTCTTTTTAATGAGCACTAAAGCAGACACCCCCATTAGCATTCTCTCTCTTTCTCTCTCTCGCTCTCTCTTTAATCCTACCTCTCTCCACTACTCTCTCTCTCTCCTTCTAATCATCAGCTGCACAGCCTCAGAGTGGTCACTGCACTCTGGAGTGGAGGGAAGTGAGTTTAACACACTTGTGCACGCAGACACACTCACACACGCAGATGCAAAGTCTTCATCTTCACGACTTAGAGCCCAGAGGAGACGAACTTGCAACGTGTCAGTTGACTGCTGATGAAGGGCAGAGCATCGTCTCCTCTCTCATGCCATCTCTTAGATGAATGGTGTCCTGAGGAATGCACAAATCCATACAATAAAGCTAAAAAAGTAATGGGAGAGGGGGCCAACCACAGCAGCCATGCAGTGCCACAGTCCGCGATTAAAACGCAGTTGTATTCAAGTTCAGTTTTTCCTCTTCTTCGCATAATAATTTAGCTTTTCTTGTAAAGCTGCACCAAGCAACTTTACGCGCTGGTACCTCCAAAATGGCAGCAAGAGGTAACTCTATCAATTCTGAGGGCCACTATATTCAAATATGAATTAAGGTGATGTAAACTACACACAGCTTCCTCATTTTTGCCAAACTTCACACTTAAAAAAAAAACAAAAAAAAAACAGAAGAAGCTGCTTTCCTGCTCACACTTTCACTCTTCATTTCTTCTGTGTGGAGTAAAGTTTCCGCCTGTGTGCACACCTGACACCTGAACTTCAAACTGCAGAATTCTTTCCATTGGGAGACAAGACACTCTTCTTCTGTGGCTCTATTCTGTGATTTTACAATTGCCTAGCACAGCTTTAACTAGCTTCTTTACAATAATAATAATTAAAAAAAAAGCTTCCAAAAACTACAAGAACCTTCATTGTAGAAAATTCTTCTAAGGTCATTAAAGGATGATGGATGGAGAGGAGAGGCTCAAAAAGTCAGTCATGAGTCTTGGGTCCTGCTTCCAGTCCTATGATTTTATGGTGATGCTGATGGTGTTGTCCGGTTGTGTGATTCCCTGACTAGCCTGGTCCCGAGTCCAGATCCTGGTCTATCAGAGGGTTGACTGTTATTGTTGTTGTGGTGTTGGTGGTTGTTTGGCAGCCAGCGCTCCTCGCTCCTCCTGGCTCAGTGACAAGCTCCTTGTGTCTGGGTACTGGCTGTTGTCAAAAGGCATATGGTGGACACTCTGGACGTGCGTCTTTAGGTTCCCTTTCTGAGAGGCTCGGTATGGGCAGAGCTGGCAGCAGAATGGCCTCTCCCCTGAGGAACACACACACACACACAAAAGGTTGATAGGTCAGGTAGAGGCCACAGGATTTGGAGAGGACAAGACATTTTAAGCAATTGTGAATATACAGAGGATTTAACAAGACACAACGATGTAGACTCGCTGCAGTGGGAACAAAAAAAAAAAAAGAAGCAAACACAGACAAACATAAACCAAGACACATGATGGCATTTAAGTAGAAGTAGGGAAACATTATGCAGGTCAAGACCAATGTTCACATTTCATTTTTTACACCTAATTTAACTTAAAAAGTTAACTTTGCTTCCGTATCCTGACCCAGATGGACAAACTCTTCCTTTTCTGTTTCCTGCCATCTGGAGAGAAGCGCCACACATCCCCTGTCTGAGCAGTCCTACTTTTCTCTCTGTGCATTTCTCTCAATCAAACAGCCCCCAACTCCCACCCCCAACACCCACACCCACACACACACACACACACACACACACACACACACCCACACACACACACACACACACACACACACACACACTCATACACCCTATACTCTTTTCTAATTAGACTGACCTACAATGGCAACGACACCTCGGCAAAATAAATAAATAAATAAATAAAATAATAAAAAAATAAGCAACAAACACCTGAACAAAACAAATGAGATTGCCATTTAATTGCACCTAATTATCATTTTGATAAATGGAGGAATATCAAAGCGGGAAAACAAATGACTCCCCGTGCCCCTCCCGCACCCCTCTCCCTGAAGAAGAAAAAGGGAAATATAGCTGTTATCATACATCATCAGAAACACAACAGAGAAAAGGAAATGGAGGGGGGGGGGGAGCTGGGGGGGGAAAGAGGGAGATAAAAACAAAAAAAAAGATATAATTAATCACACAAAAATCAAAAAAAAAAAAAAAGAAACAGCTGGAAAGACAGCGAGGGTGAGACGTGAGAGGAAAGCGAGAACCTCCACGACATCGTCCTGCGAGGAAACATCGCTGACGGGACCGGTGCACTACATTATGCTAAAGGTTATCGTCACCGTAAAGCAGCGTCAACACTACATCTAATTGGACCCCTCTGCCGCGCCTGCTCCCATCATTCATAGTGTGCGGTAAATCTTGAGTCCATGCGGATGTATGTGTGTGTGTCTGTGTGTGATGTGTGTGATTAATTAAGATGGAGGCGTAGTGTGTAGAACCCAGCTCTCTCCGAATGTCAAAGCAGAACAGATTTACTCCTCTGCTCTCTCTACCCCAATGCTTGTCTCCGTCACTGACTCTGAAAACTCTGAAAGTCATTAAAGGAGCTAAGAAGACTTTTATTTGTCCATCCGACAATCCACAGATATTCAATTTGCTATCATAAAAGAAAGAAAAGAAGCACATCCTCACACTCGATGAGCTGGATTTGTAGAATTTCTGCTTGAAATAGTTAAAATAGTTGCCAATTTCTGTCCTTCTACTAATCAACAAATCAATCAACTAATGATTTTAGCTTTAGTCACTATGTCTGTCGTGGTGTTTTTGCACTTCACCTCCTAAGAGGTCTGTTGGTGAGGAAGTTAGAGTTCTTCTAGGTGGAGCTCCTCCGTGCGTTGAACTACATATCTTTACCCCACATGCGAACACTTCCAGCTGAAACACAGTGACCACATGTGAAGGTGTCACCTGTCTTGGACATTTTTTTTTTTTTCACCTGTGTTTCAGTGAAGTGATGCAGGAAGTGAATCACAGCCAACAACAGACGGGTGGATATTTTGACTGCAGTCGCAGATGTTTGCATGTATGATCACTCCTCATACTAACTACCAGCGTGAAGTTCTTCTGATGTGCACTCCAAAAAAGCCAGAAAGAGAAACCTATCACTTCCTGTGCAAGATATGAGGGATTTTTACCAACAAAAGCTCAGACGAGACTCCTGGCAGTCAGAACAGAACGCCTGTGTTGTGTGTATCTGGGATATTTGTTGTTTGATATCTGATGAGATACTGATTTTTGTGCAGTGATGATGGGACTATAGCTGGATACTGCACTGGAATCAAATTCTACCACTTGGGGTCATTCAGGTGAATTGATTGATTGATTGCTTAACATTTTAAAGAGCTTTCATAAACTGTTTTTACAAAGTTTTTATGATAATTGCTGTTATGTTATTTACATAATGAAGCAAAGACGATGGTTGAAGGCACCCAAAATGTACTATAGAGCCATTCGTAAATTCATAGGAGTAAATTTAGTGCACACAAAGACAAACCAAACTGTATTTATAACACAAAGAAGGGAAGAAATCGTGTATTGCAAGAATCTGCAATTTGGCACAACAGTGTTGTCAGTGTTAAGTGAAAAATTAGCAGCTAAAGAAGTACAGAAAAAAAAAACAATATGTGCTTCTGACTTCATCCAGTGAGGTTTAAAAATGTCAGGTTGCCATTTATCCATTAATAAAAGAACCATTAATCTGTCAAGTGTCATTAAAACATAAAAGTCACCAAAAATGAAACGAAGACTGAAGCTTTTCAATGACACAACTGTGATATGTGGAGCGGATACACATGCTGATGTCAGGTGTGATCCAGCAACAACAAAACAAACACAAAAAAACTCAGATGTGAGGATGCAAGGTGTTAATGCCAGGTGCAGAGGGTGCCACATGTGACTGTTACAAATGGAAAAAAAAAAAAAAAAAACACATTCACAACAAGATGGGGTGTGCAGGACTGACACAGACACGCACATGCAGAGGTGAGACAGTCATAATAAGAATCATGCAGAAGCGATGGGGGGAGCCCAGTGATTAGCCATCGTGCCACATACTTGTTTGGGAGCTTCAGAAGCGGTGGTGTGAGCGTCAGTACCTCTGTGGAGTCCGTTANGGGGGGGGGGGGGGGCATTCGGTTAAAAGCTCTACCAGATCCACACAATAATTTTTTTTTTTTTTCTCTTCCACCACCATCCGCAAAGAGTAGTGTTTGCCACCAGCACCCTTGCTAATAGAGGGGGGCTGGCAGTGATGATGATGGTGATGATGGTGATGATGGTGGTGATGATGGTGATGGAACCTGGTGGAGGCAAGTCAGTGATTTAATATGACGCATGTTAATGGAGGCCTCGGGGTGGCTGGCCTTTTCTGCGTGTGCACGTTCATGCTGAAGACAACCGCTGGTGACAACATTAATTACAGCCTCGGCAAGTGTTTACAGAGCCTATGCAAGGGTGTGTGTGTGTTAATGTAGTGTGTGTGTGTGTGTGTGTTTACAGTAGGGCTTGGGGGAAGCTGAGCACTGCATCACTTACCATTTGGCCTCTGTCACTTAGAATCACTGGCTGTGCCACATATCATTCACACTCTCTATAAAGAAGCTACTTAACTCACTGTCTACTGTGATCACTGCCGGCCCGCCTGATGGACATGACAGGACAGGAGATGGGAGGGGAGAGGAGAGGAGGAGGAGGAGGAGGAAGAGGGGAGAGGTGTGGAGGGATGGAAGCAGGCAGCCAAGGAAAGGAGAGGAGAGGATAAAAGGTGAGAGGAAACAAGAGGGGAGAGGAAGAGAGCAGGAGAAAAAGTGAAATGAGGGGAAAACGAAGAAGAGTGGGACGGGAGAAAAGAGTGAGATGACAGCAAAGAATAAAAGAAAAGAAAGGGAATAAAAAAGAAAAGCGAAGAAAGGAGAAAAAGGAAAGGAAAGGGGCCGCAAGAAATGAAAAGTAGAGGGGGAAAAGGAGAAAGTAGAGGAAAAGGCAGGACGTCTAAATCAAGCTGTTTGGTGAATGGCATCGGGACACATGCAAATGGATTCATGAGGCTGGCATGGACAAATGCTGTTCTGCTTCATTAGAATGCACAATTCCATCTCTCTAATTGACATGTGATTAATAATGTATACAATTTGTCACAGGTCAGTATCTGGAGCAAATCATGTTTCAGTTTAAAAAATAGAGACAGCTGCCCGGCCCAGGGCGGGGAAGGACTCACAGACTGGCTGTCACACTCAACTGAACAAAAAGATCTGTTTTGATTTATTTCGGAGAATGCAGGGACGTAGCCGACGTATGGAGAGTCAGACGATGAGATATTGTCGAGAGCGTGAATCCCCCACCCGTGCATATAATCACTATATCTCATGTGAGCGTTTCTGGGTGGATAAATAGCTGCGAAGGTGGCGAGGTGCGCATACAGGTGGCACAGGAACGAGTGACTGTTGAAGGAGTGGCCAGAAAAATGGGAACGTCTAACAATACATGAAGAGCAAGAGGTGGGGTGAGGTCGTTCGACAGGTTTAAGACCTCTCTCACGTGCTGTACAGGTCACTTAATGTCAGTGCTGCTGCTCCTTGATGAGGTCATTCTGTTTTCCATTTGAAATAATTTTACACTTTACACAAAACTTCTTTTATTTACTGCAAATATCAAATAAATGTGTGTGTGACCCCAAACAATGACCATGTAATTTCAGCAACACTCAAGGGTTAAAAGGTGACGCATACCGACAGTATTCGTGATAGTATTGAATTAGAAATAGTATTGTGGTTTGTCTATTGTTTTGTCTGGCCACTACATGAACTGTATGTGTACGTGTGTGATCTGTATTCCTCTGAGTGTGTTTTGATGTAGATGTTGGCTGTATTTACCTGTATGGGATCTCATATGAGTGCGCAGGTGGCTGGGCTGACTGAAACTCTTCCCACACTCGTGACAGAAATACTGCCCCTGTCGCATGAGGGACCTCAGCATCCCTGATCCAACACACACACACACATGCACACGCACGCACACACACACACAGAAAAGGAGAGGAACACACAATTAAACAGAGCACAAAAGAAAAAAGAAGCAAAATCTACAAGGAATCATTGGTTCATTTGAAGTTTTTCATATGGAGAACATATAAATGAAGAGTATGGGAAGAACTGTGGGCAGATTCAGCTGTGTTGAGGATAGTTCTACTGCTTCCTCAGTTTAAATCAACAAGTCTTTATTTAAAGGAGGTCCAAAAATCACATGGATCTAATTCTTCCAGACTTTTACAACACTGGTGAGTTAAAAACACAAAAAGTATGCCTCTCTTGCGACACCTCCATGTTTTTTTTTTTTTTGTTTTTTCCAAATGTGGTCCTGATCCGATGTTTTGTGCTGTTAGCAATTTTGACTTTTCCACAATGCCAGTCCCTTGAAGAAAGGTGAAACACACTTATATACTTATACACTTATACTTTAAATTTAAATTTGTAGCTTGAAACTCTAAAAACTTTAGAATGAAGAGAAAGTAAAATAAATAAATAAAAAAAGATACATGTTCAGTTACACAGGCCAATGAGTCCGAAAATCACATGTGCTTTGAATTCCCATGTGAGATTCCACATGTGACTCTTCCCATGACGAGCGGTGGCAGAGGTGGGCATCAGTATCAGTTTATGGACATCAGTATCAGTTTATTCCAAAGGAGAAGACATTTTCACATGGCAGTGTTTGCAGAGATTGAATGGAGACGTAAAGGTCAGTAATGGGCAGAAAGAGAGTGGGTGTACATAAGCACAGAGCCTGGCTGGAGCGGTGGAGGTAGGTAGCGTCAGTAGTGGACTCGCGTAAGCATCATTAGTATGTCTAATGTGTCATTATGAGCGGCTAGCTCCAGGGGCTGGACTGCAGCTGTCACACAGCATCATCTCAGAGGCTGACAGCCAGACACACACAGCACACACACACCGCATAAATTACAGGCAATTAAAACGCCCCGGCTGTGATGTGCCCGCTCCGCTGCCCGTGTGTCACATGTCAGGTGTGTGTGTGTGTCTGCATGTGTATGCATTTCAGGAGTTATACATGTGTGTGTGTGTGTGTGTGTGTGTGTGTGTGTGTGTGTGTGTGTGTGTTTGGTCCAAGTGAGGCATGGGCTGTGGCACACCGGCTTCATTTACACACACACACACACACACACACACACACACAGAGTGATGCAGCAGCACAAGTCACCTTTACATATTAATGGCTTTAAATAGCAAAAAGAAGCAACTTGTTGAATTTTGATGACTTCAAAGCTCATAAATCCTGTCACATGGCTAAATGTAAGATCAGGATTATTTTTTTATTGGTCAATTTCTTCATGGAGGTGGTGAAGAGGTCTAACTTTCCTACTCATCATGTCGAACCCACAGTACATACATTATTGTGTCACTTCACAGAAACCATGACTAATGGTTTTTTTTTGGTATTTGGTATTTGTTTTTTTACACTTTGAGAACACACCTTGCACTTCTTGTTCCAATTCCATTATATACATCCTATAAAGCGCAAATCACGATTACTTGAAGGTGAACAAAATTAAATTTAAAACTTTCTAAAGATGTTTTAATGCTACATGGATTTTACTTTAAGACCAATTTAAAAACCAAAATGAAACCCTGGCAAAAAGCAGCATATTTCCAACTGAACATAGTTAACGAGAGTTCTGAAACTATAATGAGGCAGCATAAGAAAAATGCCACCAAGAAATTAATTGTTAAGGGACATGAAGCCCAACTGTGTTTGGGTAAAGCAGACAAAATGCATGCTGAGTGGCTAAACAGAGAGGCCATTCAGCTTAAAGAAACCTGTTGTTGCATGATGACTGAACTGTTTTTCAGACATTTACATTTGTATTATTTATATAGCTATTTAATAAATGTAATGTAAACATAGTGCAGCAGGAGGAAAAAGTATTTGAAGATTGTTGGGTCTGTTTGATGACACTGTGACCGCACACACTCACATTCTCATGCACACATACATATGCACTCCTGTGACCTCTCCTGCTGACAGTTAACAGGCCCGGGGGTTTGGGGAGGGGGGGGGATTTCGGTGAGGGGCCCGCTTACTGCTCAAACCCGCAGTAGACACATCAACACCCCAAGAATTAGGGCTGGCATATACCTGGGCAGTGCCCACTGGTTGTGTGTATGTTTTGGTGTGTCTGTGTATGCGTGTGGAAAGTGGTGAGTGTTGGAGGGACACAGCAGGACAAGGAGGACAGGGAGGCGGAGGAGGTGACAGAGAGTGTCTCTGGCAGCCCGACTGCTGGCCTCTGGATACTCTACTTCTACTCTGGGCCGCCAGCCCTTCTCACTGATGCACTAATGAAAGACAAGACAGAGCTGGACGGAAAACACAAGCAGACACACACATACACACACACACACACACATGCTGGTGCACATATTACAGAGAGAAAAGGGAGAAAGACTCAGTTGCTCAAAAAAGGTCACTTTATAGCATGTGACTCAAAGGGCTAAGGCGGATCGTGACGATATGTGCCTGGACGGGTGACAGCGATGTCATGTGTCTGCTCTGGGGCTGTTGTCTTTGACCCCTGGCTCCATACAGCCCCACTTGACCTTAGAGACACAACTGAAAATGGGCAAATAATACGGATGTTCGGTAATGACCATTTCCAAAGCAGCTGGTGGGGTAATTATTCTGTCTCATCTCCCTCTTTGCCTCTTATGTTCCCTCTCTCTCTCTCTGTTTTGCCTCCCTCCATTCGCATCTGTGTGAGTCTCTCGTCAGGCAGAGCCGTGACCTAAACAGTTTGTGACAGCTTTCTGGGAGAGTGGAGCTGGAGACTAGGCATGCCTCGCAGACCTGAGAGTAGCAAAGGTTCTCTCACGTCTTTCACAGTAAAAAAAAAAAAAAAAACACACACACACACACACACACACACACACACACACACACACACACACACACACACACACACACACACACACACACACACACACCAAACTCCTTTTGCATCTAAAAACCTGAGCACATATGGACACACATGCACAGACACACATGCTGCCCTAGATACAGCCTTTTATCATACCAAGCAAACGTGTGTGTGCTGATTTAATGGATCTCCTCTTCATTATTCAAAAATCTTGTCAGAATGGAGCAGTATATGTGTCTGTCAATCACTTTCTGCCAGATGGCGAGTTAGTGTGTGAGAAAGAAAGAGAGAGACAGAGAGTGAGTTTGTGTGTGTTAGTGAGGATAAATATGTGTACCTGATTGAATATGGCTCATACATTACGTGTGGATCTACTCATGTGACTGTGTGTGTGTCTTTTCCCGGTTTAGCTTGTCAAGTCCAGTCAGTTCTACTCATAGCAGCTCAGGAACAAGATGCTCAGTGGAAAACATTCCTCTTCAACTCTTGACATTTGGCATTTTCACCATGGCCAAGACGCTCTGGGCATATTGTATGTGAGCTGATGATGAGGTGTTTCACGGGACTTTAACTAACAAAAAGCATTGCATTGCATTGCATTGCATTGCATTGCTCCAAATCTTCTTAAATACATAATACAAATCAGACAAATGACTGCTTACCAGTGGGATCCAGCAGAGTATTGGCTACACCCCATCGATGGTAGAGGGCAGCCAGCTCATGGGGGCTGTAGTTTTTGAGGAAGCTGAGAATGTCACTTGGCATCTCCGGCGTCTCTGCGATTGGCTCCTGCTTTACATCTCCACGAGCCTCTGAAGGCAAAGAAGAAGAAGAGGAGGAGGAGGAGGACGTGTGCGGAGTGCCTCCATGTGCCTGGGAGGCTCCATAGTTGTGTCCTGCTGTGGAGCTATGGGTGATGGTGCTGGGCCTGGTTGCATTAGCCCGGCCCTGGCTGTGGGAGTTGGGAAGCAGTTGATGAGGGGAGCCCCTAGCGCGGCTGTACTCTGCTAGGCCATGTTTGCTGGACAGCATGAAGCCGAGGCCCTCCTGAGGCATCAAGTAGCGGTCTGCCATCCTGGAAGCAGTAGCAGAGCTGGGGCTCGGGGCTGAGGAACGTGAGAGGGCGCCAGTGCTTTTCTCTAAGGGGCTTGAGGATGGCAGCGAGCTTCCCCGAGGGTAAATATCCACTTTGGGTCTGAAGCGAGACTGATGACTCTGGTCCTCCTTGTGTCTGGCGTTGCTGCTGGCGCTGCTGCCCGGCCGTGCGGGGACTCTCCCAGCTTGGGAGCCTGAGGAGGATGAGGAACCCCTGGAGAACGAGGAGGAGGGTGTAGAGGATGATGATGGTGTGGCTGCGTGACTGGGTGGCTTGCTCTTCTTTAGAACCTCGCTGGAGTAAGTTGGGGGCCGGGTACGTTGGGTGCGCATCAGTGGAGGCAGTGGTGGACACTCCTTTCCCTCCAGGACTGGTGGGGGACCGGTACGTCTCCTGGAGGATAACAAGCTGTCCCTGGAGCCCTTTGAGTTGTTTTTAAAGGCCCATTTAGGAGCCAGATTGGAGCTACTGCTATTGATGCGGTGAGCCACAGTCTGGTGCATCCAGAGCACCTCAGGGTAGCGGGTGGAGTGGGAGCAAAAGGAGCACTTGTGACTAGGGAGGCTCTTCCTGTCCAAGGTTAAGGAGCCTATCCCCCTGATGCCTTCAGCCCTCACACACAGGTCCACAGGGGTCATGTTGGGATCGAGTGGGGATGATCGAGCTGAAAGGTAAGCCGAAGGTGATGCTGAGTTGTTCAGCCCCTGCAGTAGAGCTTTCTTCAGCTTGGGATAACCACTAGGGGTGCCTCTGTCCGAGCTGGAGCCGGGGCTTGGAATGGGGCTGGGTCGATCTTCGGGGGCAGGCGGGTGTTGGACACGAACATGAGTCAGATAAGCCTGCGAGTCTGTGGCAACAAAGTCACACAGGCTGCAGATGTAAGGCTTCTCATCTGTAAGGAAGAGTTGTGACAACATAAAGGTCAATGACTGTGAAGGGAATTGTCTAGATTATACTCTTCTCTACCACCAGCCATAAGTCAGAGCTCATTACCTCAGTTCACTGTGCCAGATTCATATTGTTGCAACCTCATGTAGTTTTAGTGAACAGCCACCAGGCTGCAGTATTGGCCCTTGTTCCCATATCCTCTCTTTTCATTTTACATGTGAACAGAACCTTTTCTGCCATTACTAGCATTATTACTTATAAGAAAACTGAACAAAACACACACAAAAATAGACAACAATTGTAACATCACAACATCGTAAGATGTTCCAAGAATTTATCTGAATACAACTTGCTTTTTTCAGTGACAAAGAGGGTGAGCCCTGACATAGATAATACTTTTACAACTCTGTTATCATATTCATTTAGTTAAGACTGTGTCGGTATCTGTGGTAACTTTTGGGATGCACGGTGGTGCCGATGATGTGAAACAATCACAAACTATAAAATCAAACATTAACATAGAGTTAAATAAACACCTTTTTGACACATTAAAACAAATGGAGTATTAAGACTTACAAGGTTGGTTTATTTACTTTATGTTGTATTGGAATTGCATTGGACTGCACGTTTCTTTATTGTATTGAGTCAATGGTGGTGGTTCCTGATGTGTAGCTTCATAAACTCTCCACTAGGGGGGGTATATGTCATGTGTTTAGTGAATTCTACTGGAAAACTGGAAAACTTTGTCTCCCACAATGTACAATTTCCAGAATTAGGAAAAAAAACAATATGAATAAGAATTATAGTAATGAGTATCAGAGCCAGGCCACATCATCTTACACACACAAACACTGTACTAAAGTCTGCTATGATCTAATGAATCAGATATTACATTATTGTACTCTCCACTACCCCTCCCCATTTTTACAACAACACCAGTAACCTGCCATCTGTTTTTCATTTTGCTTCCTGTTGGCAACACTGACCAACAATCACAGCTCAGACTCTGCCAAGGTGAAACCCCAGGGCTGGGCAGTTTAGCAGGCAGGGTGGTAAGGCTGATGTGCCCTGTTTCTAAGACTGATACTGGTCTTATATTAATTGATTACTGACCAGTCAGAGTTGTAGTAATGGATGTACATAATTGAATATCAGACACAATATTCTTATTATCCTTCCAAAGTTTCAGTGCAATCCTGAATCAGAGTGAATGAGTTAGGCCACTGGGACAAAGCATGCCATAGTGCCCACAGTCTGTCACTGCAGTAATACTTAAGTTCTTAGAGGAGGCGTAAACATTATTAGAAACACACTATGATCTATTATATCCATCTGTGTCACCAAAACACTTGCACAGCTGCAATGATGAATTTCTCTGATTACCACAGAGGAAACTGTCATCAATATAACCGGTTTGTCAAAAAGCCTATGCCAATGTCAGTATCTGCGCGTAGACAGTACACTGCAGCTTCTCATTTGTATTCCCAAAAAGCAACTAAATGGCTGTAAGGGACATCAGAGTATTTGGGACTAGAGTGTCCTCTGAGTGTCTCTTTCCCCATTGCCTGCATCCCTCTCCATCGGGAGGTGACTCTATAAATAACCAATCCCTCAGACATCAGGCAGCCTGGCTGGCTGGCTCAGTGGTAAGAAGAGTGGATGAGTGACAGTGGTCACAGGAGGTAACCTTAGAGATTAGGAGAGTCAGAGGGATGGGGAAGAAAGGTAAAAGGAAAAAGGATGGACAGATCGAGAGAGGCCTTTATATCTTGTCAAGAATATTCTTTTGTTAAATACATCATTCTTGGATGGTTTTGTCATAATTACTAATGAATTTGATAAAAAATGCAACAACAGATTCTATCACATTTTACCATGTCTTTAAGTGTTGTGGGTTTTGAATCTGATATATAACATGCTGTACCTTTACGTACAATTGAGCTAGAAAGAGCTTGTACCTCAAATGCAATTCCTGCCATCAGACAGCAGGATGTCCATGGTTTTGGAGAGATTGAATTCTTCACAGGACATTTACTATTACAAAAGAAGCTAACCACACCTTGAACTGCTGCAGCACAGGAGTGTTATGTTTCTACTCCAGTCAAATAATCAGTTGTTATACAATAAACAACATCAGTGAAAAGTAAAAGTAAACATACAGACAGATTTCCATGGCAAAGAGACAGACAAAGGAGAGCGAAAAAACATATTCACAGATAAGGGGGTGAGGGGAGTTTCCTGAGACAGGAAGACCTGAAATAGCACACAGCTCGATCAAGCCTGAAGAAATGTTGCTGCTATTTTTGAATGTCTGTACTAACAGGGGGGGATGGAAACAATCACTTCAATTCTTAGTTATCCACTATCCTAACCTGTACAAATAGTGTTTTCAGTGTGTTTGAAAGTTAAAAGACAAAAGCCAGAGATCTCAAGTGCTGCATACACAGGAATCCTTCCTTTAGCATATTTCAGCTGTGATTATGGGTGTTTGCCCTTGCATGGGTAGGCTTTCTTCTTTTTTTTGCTCTGCAGTGTTTATTGGTTGTGGAGGTGAAAAAATGATAGGCATTCCAAAAATGCCCTCTGCTCTACTGACATGCCACTGAAAGGCACAAAGTTTCACATAACTGTTAGCTTTATTGCTCTGTGATACGAAATGATTGCACTGTTGTAAACAGCATTTTCAGTGGCAGTTAAAGTTTACTGACCATATTTGATAGTTGTGTACAGCTCTCAATAAAAGAGCTGAAGTCAGATGTAATCTTGATATTCAGCCACATGGTGGCTCCAGTTCCCACTCCATCGAGTGGAAACTGGACCTACACACATTTCATCAACAGATGTTTACTACAGAGTGACAAAGCCAGAGGCCTAAAGTGGGAGGCTTGAAAAGGGCTACAGTCATTTCTGCCACAAAAAAATCCCACTGTGTACTTATGCTTATGGCATTCATTTACTTGTATGTAAGTTATATTTTCCTACTGTTTTATGCTAGAAAGTTAAATCAGTGTCTAAAAGACAAAAGTAGTAATGGTGAAAAAAAAACAATTCTGGGTCCCAAGACACGATACTATAATCAATTTCTTCTATTTAACCTACTTTTTCATTTATACTGTATGTGTGATGAAATGAATGAAACAGTTAAAAAAAGCTGCAATTAATGAATCACAAACATTTACCAACCACCAATATTAAGGATAGTTCTTTAGCATCCTTACTTTGTTCCTTTGATTACAGACGATCATTTTGAATCAAAGTACAATGAAAAGACAGAGACCACTGACTAACCTGAAAGCTCTCCAGAATTTGCGGTACCCATCTCTGAGGCCTGATCTCCAAGGGTGGAGGCTGGTGGAGAGTCTCCATACCCCGGAGTGCACGGCCGGCTGGGGGAGCCTGACTCTGGATCACTGGTGGAGCCCCATCGGTCATCCCTTGCAGTTCTTTCCTTGTGTCCCATAGATGCCCTGCCTCCATCCTTCCTGTGGACCCGCTGGTGGACGATCATCTGATGACGACTGCGAAATACCTTCCCACACTCAAAGCACTCGTTGGATTTGGACGAAGCCTGCGACTGGGATGGTCGTCGTCGGTCTTGGCGAGATGAAGGCCGGTACTCTGAGTCGCTGAGGCTCTCTGGTGTCCGGTCTCCAGAAGAGGCATGGCTTCCCAACCCAGAGCTGCTACGTCTGCCTGAGCTGCGTTTCTCCTGACCTTGCAGGACATAACGGCTGCTTTCCTTCTCAAAAACCACAGCAGCTCCAGCGAGGGCCTCCTCCCCCATACTTCCTCCCCCATAGGAGGCCTTGTAACTAGGCTCCACTGGCTCCACAACTCTTCCTTTAGTGGCTAATTGCCAGGCCTGGTAGCTGCAAACTGGATCTAGTTCTGGGATTCTTTGACCCAGAATCTTCTCTTGCTCATCCAGGGTCTTTTCCTCAACAGGCTTGAGGTTTAAGCAGTCAAGAAAACGTCTCTTAGCAGCTGGTGAGTCCTCATCATCACTGGGTCTGCATTGGCTCTGGGATTTTTTTCCATAGCTGAGACTATGGACCTTGTCATGGGCTCTCAGACTCTCTTTGTTGTGAAACAGGTTCCCACATTTACAGCACATTTGATAGATAGATGTTACAGAGCCAGTAACGATATCAGGATCCTGTGCTACATCGTTGATGGTGGCTGGATGCTCAGCTAAGTCTGCTTTTGACCGTGATCTAGATTTGGTGTTGTGTGTTTTCATGTGAGATTTGAGAAACCAAGCTTCGCGGAACCGTCGTCCACAAATGCGACAGCAGTGGTCCAGGATCCCTGCATGTTTCTTCATGTGTGACTTAAGAAACCAGGCTTGGGTGAAAACCTGACCACAGGTCTCACAGGGGAAGGTCCCATCATTCTGGGGTTGGACGACATCAGGTTCGGTCACCGCCTCTTCCTTAACAGCCGTCTCCTCTTCTGTGTCCGCTGTAATGTGGACCTTTTCAATGTGGCTGAGGAGCTGGTCTTCTCGCTGGGCCTCGTACCCGCAAAGACGGCAACAGTAAGGTCGCTGGTCGGTAATAGACTTCTCTCTTTTCATGCTCCTTGCAGGCACTTTCCTCCGACTCTCCTCACCACTATCCCCGTTGATCATCCGGTTACAGGCAGAGCTGCTCTTAGTTGGACTCGTACCTCCATCAAGACCCTCTGAAACACTCATCTCCTCCTCCTCAGCGACACCTTCGTCATCCTCGTTGGAGTGATGGCTCGAGAGCGTGCCCAATTTATGGCTGCGGATGTGAACTTTCAGGTTGCCTTTCTGAGAGGCCCTGTGGTCACAGTAGGGGCATTTGTAAGGGCGGGCACCTGTGTGGCGTCTCATATGCTGCGACAAAGAGCTGAGGAATGGGAAGCTGCGTCCACAGACATTACAGTCAAAAGTCCCAGGGATTTTGTCATCCTCACCCTCAATCTCATTTCCAGGGTTAACCTTGTCTCCAACCAGCTTCTCCTTCTGACCTGCCGCCTGGGTTTCCATCACCTCCACACTGTCTCTAGGATTCATGGTACAAACTAACTACCCTGTCAATCTGGCCTTTCACAAGCTCAAAAAAACTTGAAACTACTGCTATCTGCAGTTGCACATCTAGAGGTGTCTAGTTGTGCCTTGTTGGTCAGTAAAAATGCTATCTGCCTTCAGTCATCCAGAAATCCAGCTGCTAACACAGCAGCTCATTTAGCACTCTCTAGTTACTGGGCACCACACCACCTATCCATCTTCATCTAGCACTGTCAGTGAGTTGACGACTGAAACTCTGTGTGCAACTGGCACCAGCGTTAACATTTGCTTAGATGCATGTAGCAAAATGTACTCTTTAGGCTAATGAAGGCCTAGCTTATAATGTAAAACTGAAATGTCTTTCTCAGAATAAAGTTGAAGTTCTCCCTCAATTTCAGGTCATCATTATGTCAGTAGCGGGGGAGTTCTGTCTGGGTGTCAGCGTAGCTAATCCACCAAACTCCTGTTCTTCATTTCACTGGCTTCTCTTCTTCATCCTGTGTTTTTATGTGTATCAGCAACTTTCAGGCCATATAACAGTGAGCTCTCTATAACACGGCCTTCATGTATTATCATCCACCTGAGAATGAAAAAGAAAGAGAGAGATGGTGGGAGACAGCAAGTGGGGAGGGATAAGAGAAAAGACACAAGGAACATTTTAGTAAAGTAAAAACATTTTCAATTCTCAGCCACAGTCAGTTACCATTTGCATTTATAGCAAAGCTGACTGCAGTAGCCTATGTAGATGGACTGTATGTGTCATAAGGTAGACCTGCATATGTTTGTCTGGTAATGTAATGGTGGATTAAAAGGTAGCTAAGTTAAGGCCTCATCATGGGCCAAACCACCAACAGAAATGAAATCCCTGACATATTTAGAGACGTGAATTTCTGGTTTCTAACCCACAAGCTGTTTATAAGTGAAAGCGTAAGGGGAAAATGTGAAAATGTTCTTTTAGATTCACTTAAATACAAACATCTGTGAGAGTGACATTCAAAATCAAGTATGGAACAAGTAATAACAGTTATGTTTATCCCCATTTTATTAACAGATTGTTCACCCCTTTGTAAATCCCCAAATCCATTGTAACATACAGTATATGAGTTTGAATTCACCTTATATATACTTAGAATTCACCTTATAAAGATTTACATATGTAAAAATTGAGTGTAGGTCAGCTATTATCATGTATAAAGTCCACTATGTATCTGAGGCTTGCGCTGCAGACCACCATGCACGTGTATGTGTGCGTGTTGTGATTGTGCATGAGTTGTGCAGGGCTTGGGGGCTCTGACGCCACACTGGCTGAGTCGACACTTTACACAATCAGGGTGGTGGTGGTGGTGGGGGGGTCATGTTCACATCAGCAAGATCAGCAGTGCCACCATATTCCCTCCCCATACTGGCCTCACGCACCCGCCTAAACTGACACTATCACATGACAGGGATCTTAAGTACACAACAGGAAGTGGCTCTTCAGACAGTTTGCTTTGTTCTATTTCTCAAACGGGAGTTGAATGGGGTCGGGGAAAGAGTCAAACAGAAAGAGAAAGAGACAGGGTGATAAGAAGAGACAAAGACTTTAACAGTGTTGACTAATTTCATACTGCATATATTTCCTTCAGTGGGTGGAATATTTCCATAATTTGCATATTTTCATGAAGAGTATCAGCTTTCAGTGACATCTGCTGTAATTATATACATCAATTAAATTGTAATATGTTATATGAATGTCAAAATTGTCATATTTTTTCACCACATTTCACTATTATGACCTACTGTTATTTCTTGCTACAAAGTCACAATATTCTCACTAGAAGTTAATCACATCTTTTTTCTTTTCACCCTGTCAGCTCAATAAAACATTGTTTATTACACATGACAAGTTTTTATGTACAATATTAGAGTCAACTTTTAAATACCTTTCAGTTAAAGATCAAAACTTGAAACATGAAATGAAATTTCCATGGGAAGTTGGAGTATTAATTTCAGCAGATGCTGGAGCCTGAAAGTATGGACTATATGAAATGTGAGTGACAGCATTATTACAGGCTATTATATAAAGTGCCATAGCCCTTAAGCTGAGTTACTGCCAGGCTCTAATTATAAGTGGATAATTGATCATAATCATAAGAGGATAAGGTGGTGGAGGAGGGAAGTTAGCACAAGAACAATCATATGTCTTAAACTCTCGCACTGAAAATGACTACCCTGCACCAGAGCCACCTATCTATCTAGAATGATTTATGCTATTGAAATCAGCGCAGCCTCAATGGTTCATCATGCTTCCTCCTGGAGTGCTTAGTAAGCTAAGGCTTCCAGTGAACACATACTCCAGCAGACCAGCCAGAAGTGCAGCTGTGGCTGACATTACTTTGAAACAAACTGTATTTTCAGATCCAGACCTCTATATCTAATATAATCAATTATCTAAAGAGACATTATTTCTGCCTCTGTGGATGGCAGTGACGCTCAGCCAGTCCACCATCAGACTGAAATATCTCAACAACTACTGTTGTAAAAAGAGTTTACAACCACCCTTGCAGGGCTGCTAGCATGGTTGTAAACTCTTTTTTTTTAAAAGAGCAATTTGTAATTTTTCTCTGTCGCCGAACATGGTTTCTTGCTGGGAGTGATTGTGACCTGACAAGAGCTTCAGCCATTGTTGTCTTTAAAATACAAGAGGTTATACGCCCTCTGAGCAGTGCTATTACTTCAGGACAGATTGGTGACTACAGTGAGTCGCTATCAGAAAGTGTTGAGGGGAACCGGGGCTAGCTGGCTGGCATGCTAACTTCAGTACAAGAAAAGACGCGATAGAGACAAGAGATAACATTGGCATTGCTTTCCACGGCTCGAGCCAGTTCTTGGTAAGTAAAGAAATAAAGTTTGACGCTGAACTCGCAATGTGTCTTCTTCAGTGGAAAGTGAACAGCCGTTTATCCTAATGCTGGCTATGTAGCAATAGCAAAACTTACAAAGTATTAGAATTAGTAATGCATGTGGGAGAAATAATATTGTAACTTTCTGATGTGTGTCCCCAGTGCAGTCAGATAAAACAGCACAGCAGTGTGCGGTTTTCAGTTTTACTTATTTGCAGCCCATGACACCATTGATTCATTCTGTTATGTACAGTATTCATTATAGTCACACAGCTACAGGGTTTGATAGGACTCATGCCTGTGCCTCACTTACATAACACATTCACAAACTGTATATGCGCCTAACCTCACCAAAAGAATCCCTAAAGAAGAAAATTTCATGAATTTATGAGATTAAGTAAAAGAGCCATACACTTCACACTCTATGACGAACAAAGAAGCATGAGTAACAGTCAACACATGACATGATAGAGAATCAGGTGATGATGGATAACAACAAAATAAAGAAAACAAAGCGGCCCAACTCCATTCATCCACCCACTGTAGTTTTCCCCTCCATCTGCTCCATCTGCTCTCTGTCTCCACATCCTAATATTACTAATTATGACTTAGTAGTTTCTTGCAGTTCTGGCGCTAAAAACAGAGGATAATCATCTTATTTCCTATTAAATGGCCTTGCTGATTGGGGGTAAGAAGGGCTGGGAGGGGGTAGAGACTATTCAACAGTAAGCCTGTCATCCCACCAGACAGTCACATGTGCAAATTTAAATGTAATGAGATTAGCCACCAGAAGGGAAACAATGCAGGCTCCTCGCCATACAGACCAAAAAAAAAAGACAAATTGGCTTAAGGAAGGAGAAACTGTCCAGGAGAGACGGACAAGATTACCAATCATCGAAGTCATCAAAAAAGGGAAGAGGCATCAAAGCTCTATTAAAGGCCAACATAGGACAATAAATGGGTATGATGCCTTCCTGAAGCTTGCAGGAACAATCAATCCAGTTTGTAAACCTTGACTGTCAATGACATCCTCCAGCTAATTAACCTCACACACACACACACACACACACACACACACACACACACACACACACACACACACACACACAGGATTAATAAGAATGGAGATAGTGTGTAGCTGAAATTGGGACTGAAATTTGTGTTTTTAGTTTAGTGTGTTTAAATGCTGTATTCTGAAACACAACAACTGTCTTTTTTCTTGCAGGAAAATTCCTCCTTTAAATACTAAGACCGGTCTAACCCTACTTGGAAACGTCACTGCTCTAATATCAGACATGCCATTAATGGACACTTAAGAAGCTGCCCCTCCATGAGTCACTAGGAATGAGTGGAGGCCTACACTCAGTTGATAATGACTGCTGTGTCAAACACTGAGAAAACTGTTCTTTTTTTTTCTCCCCTCTCCTTTCTTGAAGGCTCAACTTCTGCTGTTCTGCTTTCTGAACGCTGAACCGTAGCGGTTGAGGTCCGGCAAGAGGAGGAAATCCGCTCTTATTTTCCCATCCATACACAACCTTCACAGAGCAGTGTAGCTATTTCTGTGTCAGAGACTCCCGAGGTTCACATCTGGAGGGAATCTTGAAACAAACAGTGTCAAACTGAGCATGCAGGCCAGCAGAGGACCTGTTTACAGATGTCAGGTTTTCTGTTATCGTTTTCACACTTTAGTTCTGTCACAAAGCCAGAATGTTTGACCTAAAAAAGTTTAATATAGAAACACCATCACTGACACCATCACAAACACAAACATTATCTAGCTGTACATTGACTAGATCAGCTCTGTACAAACTTTAGCTGTGTATTATATATTCATATACACATTATATATTCATCATATTAGAGGTCATTCTTTGCTCTCTAAATTAAACAGCTCTATACTTCTCAACATGTTTAGGTGGACCACAATCTGGTTTTAAACCAGCTGGTTTGTATAACTGTGTTTATTGCAGTCTGCTCATCTGCCCCATCTAGAGGCCACAGATTCAGCTTGCAGAACACATTTGGTGCAATAGTATAAAAAAAAGTGTCCAGATTTGGTTACAAAAGAGAGTCTACTATTTAAACAACATTGCAGTTTAACGGGGACTCATACAAAGGTTAAGC